GCCGGGGGGGCCGGGGTGGGCGGGCCCGCCGAGACGCGCCGCCTGAAAGGCTGTTCAGCTGGCGCTGCCCCGAGCGCTGCAGGGGAAGCGCCCCCCACACCGCGGGAGGTGGTGACAGTGGGGGAGGCACCCCGCCCCGCCAGCTTTGGGTCCATTGGCCCCGCGGACGCCCCTGGGCAGCTTCAACACCCCCCGCTGTCGACTGGAAGGAGGATCTTGAGAATAAAGGCCAGGGAGACGTGGAGCGGCTTTTCTCAGCAGACACCTCAGCTTGAGAATAAAGGACTGAGGGAAGTGAGGTGTGGGAGAATAAAACTGAGCTCTGGAGAAATGTTTGGCTAGAGTTTCCCCTACAATATGTACCAGTTCTGACTTACATACAAATTCAACTTAAGAACAAACCTACAGTCCCTATCTTGTACGTAACCCGGGGACTGCCTGTATATGGTTGTGACAATTTTCTTCCACTATCTGATCTGAGGAAGTGGGTCTGGCCCACAAAAGCTCATCACCTAATAAACCATCTTGTTAGTCTTTAAAGTGCTACACGTTCCTGTTTTATGATTCTGGGAGGCATTAACAGGAGTGTTGTGAGCAAGACATAAGAAGTCATTCTTCCGCTCTACTCTGCACTGATTAGGCCTCAATTGGAGTATTGTGTCCAGTTCTGGGCACCACATTTAAAGAAAGATGTGGAGAAATTGGAGACGGTCCAGAGAAAAGCAACAAAAATTATTAAAGGTTTAGAAAACAGGAGCTATGAGGGAAGATTGAAAGAACTAGGCTTGTTTAGTTCAGAAAAGAGAAGAACAAGGGGGGACATGATAGCGGTTTTCAAGTATCTAAGAAGGAGGGAGAAAATTGTTCTCCTTGGCCTCTGAAGATAGGACAAGAAGCAATGGGCTTAAACTGCAGCAAGGGAGGTGTAGGTTAGACATTAGGAAAAATTTCATCAGGGCAGTTAAACACTGGAATAAATTGCCTCGGGGGTTGTGGAATTTCCATCTCGGTAGATATTTAAGAGCAGGTTAGACAGACATCTTCAGAGATGATCTAGATGGTGTTTGGTCCTGCTGTGAGGGTAGGGGACTGGACTCGATGACCTCTCAAGGTCCCTTTCAGTTCCAGTAGTCTATGATTCTACAATCATCTAGTCTTATCTCCTGTATATTGCAGGTCTGAGGTCTGGTCAATGTTTGAACTAGAGCTGATTTTAGAAAACCTCCAATCATGATTTTAAATTTGATGACAAAAAAATCCACCACAAGACGCTTGGCAAATTGTCCCCAGGACTAATTTCCCCACCCATTTAAAAAAAAAAAAAAAAAAAAAAAAAGCACTTTGCTTCTCATCTGAATTGGTCTAGCTTCAGTTACTGATCATTGGATCGGGTCAGACCTTCCTCATGGAGATACTTGTGAACTGTAAACAAGTCATCCCTTCATCTCCTCCTTGTTCAGATAAATAGATTGAGCTCCTTGAGTCTCATTATAAAGGCAGGTTTTCTAATTCTTTAGTCATTCTATGGACGCCTCATAATGAGGGCCCTACCAAATTCACAGCCATGCAAAATGAGTCATGGGCCCTGAAATCTGGTGTCCACCCATGAAATCTGGCTTTGTGTGTGCTTTTACCCTCTATTATACGGATTTCTCAAACTGGGGTCCGAACCCAAGAGAGAGTTGAAGGGGGATCACAAGGATACTTTAGGAGGGTCACAGTGTTGCCATCCTTACTTCTGTGCTGCCTTCAGCGCTGGGTACCTGGAGAGCAGTGGTTGTAATGTCGGCCGGGTGCCCGGCTCTGAAGGCAGCACCCGTCCAGCAGCATGGCAGAAGTAAGGCTGGCAATACCATGCTTACGTCACCCTTACATCTACTGCTGCTTTCAGCGCTGGGCACCCAGAAAGTGGCACCTGCTGACAAAGGTCCAAGCTGTGCAGGAAGCAGTGCAGAAATGAGTGGCAACACCAGATCCTGCCAAATTACTTCTGTGCTGCTGCTAGAAGTAGCTCCACCTTCAGAGCTGGATTCCTGGCCAGCAGCCACTGCGCTGCAGCTGCGTGGCTCTGAAGAAAGCGCCACCGCCAACAGCAGCACAGAAGAAAGGTGGCAGGGCTTGCAACCCTGTCTCCAGTGCCCTTTGGGTCAGGATTCCTACAGTTACAACATCATGACATTTCACATTTAAATAGCTGACATGTTTTTAATGCTATGACTGTGAAATTGATCGAAATGGACCATGAATTTGGTACAGCCCTACTCAGAACGCTTCTTCTCGGCCCCCTCTCTAATTTGTCTACATCCTTCTTGAAGGGCGGGCCCCAGAACTGGTACCACTATTCCAGCTGCAGTCGCAGCAGGGCCAACGACTCCGCTCCTCTGATCCTGGCCCCCGGCAGCCCATTGCCGCTCCTGGGGAGGCTTCTCTGCCACATGGGTCCTTGCATGTTTGCTGAGCTTGGAGCTGTCGATGAAACTCCGCCCGCACTGGGTGCACTGATAAGGTCTCTCCCCCGTGTGGGTGCGCAGGTGTTTGACCAGGGTGGATTTCAGATTGAAGCACTTCCTGCACTGGGGGCAGGCGTAGGGCCGCTCCCCACGGTGGATCCGCTGGTGCTGGAGGAGGTTGGCGCTCAGGTTGAAGCTCTTGCCGCACTCAGGGCAGGCATAGGGACGCTCTCCGGTGTGGATGCGCCGGTGCTTCCCCAGCGACGAGTTGAGGCCGAAGCGCTTCCCGCACTCGGGACACTGGTAGGGGCGCTCGCCCCGATGGATGCGCCGGTGTTGGAGGAGGGTGGAGCTCTGGGTGAAGCTCTTCCCACACTCGTTGCACGCATAGGGCTTCTCCCCCGTGTGCACGCGCTGGTGCTTCACTAGGTTGGAGCTCTGGCTGAAGCCCTTCCCGCAGTCGGGACACTGGTAGGGCCGCTCCCCTGTGTGGGTGCGCTGGTGCTGGGCCAGATTGGAGCTGCTGCTGAAGCTTTTCCCGCAATCAGGGCAGGGGTGGAGCTTCCCCGGTAAGTGGGACCGCAGGTGCTGAGGGAGGGAGCTGAGGCTGAAGCTCTTCCCGCACTCGGGGCAGATGTAGGGCTGTGTGCCTAGGTGGGTGCGGGCGTGCTTGGCCAGCGTGTGGCTGCGGTTGAAGCACTTCCCGCACTCGCTGCATGGGAAGGGCCGCTCCCCGGTGTGGATGCGCCGGTGTTGGACCAGGTGGGAGCTCTGGCTGAAGGATTTACCGCAGTCGGGGCAGCAGTAGGGCCGCTCCCCAGTGTGGATGCGCTGGTGCTGAGCCAGATGGGAGCTCTGGCTGAAGGATTTCCCGCAGTCAAGGCATTTATAGGATCTCTCTCCCATGTAGGTGGTTTCCAGTATAATGATGTTTTCTGGGATCCCATAAGCATCACACTCCTTAAGGGTCTCCCCCAGGGGGTCTCCTTGCCTCCATCCTGACCTGCCAGCAGCTCTCCGCTTGGGACGCTGGCACAGCGCATGTGTGTCTGCTCCCACACACCCTTCCTGCTGGGGAGTCTTCTTCTCTCCTGCATCTGCTGGGAAACAGAGAATCCAGGTTTTTCCCACAGCAGAATTGGCCCCTCCTCCAAGCCCTCAGAGAAAGGCTGGGAGACAGGAGGGGAGGGCTCCCATGAGAGGTGGGAGCCAGGTGTGACATGTGGAAGACTCTAGTGGCTTGCTGGGAACCTTTTGCTGCTGTTTTGCTACCTCACATCTCTCGCTGACTCGCCCTACGGGTTTGGGGGGGAGGGGGGGGAATCTCTGGCCTGGGTTTGGCAAGACATCAGACTAGACCAGAACGGCTCCTTCTATGGCTCTAGTGTGGCACCCTGGGGTGCTGGTTTGTGGAGGGTCCCAAGGCTCCTTACCTGTGCAAATGACAGTCAAGTTTTCCCTTTCCTGGGAGCCCTGGAGATCCCGGATGCTCTGCTCTTCTCCATGCTCCATCCAGAAGACCCCGGAGTCCAGGGCCAGGAATCCTGTCTGTCAGGAAGGGAAAAAAAGAGAAGCCCTGGTTTGAAAAACAACCATGAAACCCTTCAAAGAGCACCTCTGCCCAGAACTCCTGCCCCATCCATAGCTGGTGGGGGAGGAGGGGCACTGCAGGGCTGCAATTTCCTGCCTCTGCTGCTGTTTCCCTCCCTAGCCTAAGAACTTCCTCTAGCTGCCTCTTCCCTGTGCCCTGCTCATCACCCGCCTGACCGGGTGGTGCCCTCCTACCCCTGGGATGCAGCCAGGACTTACCGCTAGCACACCAAGGGACAGGGAACAGGCCAGGAGCCAGGGATTGGAAAATCCCTGCACTATTTACAGCCTCCCTTATGGCCCCGCCTGCAAAGGGGAGGGATTAGGAAACTGGTGGGTTTAACTCCTGATGTTCCCTCCATGCAAGTGCCAACCCCAGCTTCCCACTCCCCTCTGGCCTGTCTCACACGCACACACAGATCACAGAAACTGCACACACTGATTTCAGGCACACGCTGGCTGCACAGATTCACACCTCTGCTTTTCACTCACACACACACTTATGCACACTCACATATTCTGCCTACACACACAAAAACTTTCCTTGTCCATCAGATCTATGCAACATTATACTGTACACACAGGACCCCAGTATACTCTGTGACATCCCCAGTAAATTCCTCTGGCTACATATTATGTGCACACTCGGTACAGACACAAAAACACCCTGATTTCACACACCCACGCGGACTGCACACCCAGCCCTTATGTGCACACTCGGTACAGACACAAAAACACCCTGATTTCACACACCCACGCGGACTGCACACCCAGCCCTCACACTCGCACAGATTGCACATACACACTGATTGCACACCCAGCCCACACACTCGCACCGATTGCACATACACACTGATTGCACACCCAGCCCCCACCCTCACGGAATTCACACCCAGCCCCCACACTCTCACACGGATTGTGTGCGCGCACACTGACCGCACATGCACAGCTTGCACTCACATCAGGACTACACCCCTTCCCCGACTCCTAGATTGCACATACACACTGATTGCACACCCAGCCCACACACTCGCACCGATTGCACATACACACTGATTGCACACCCAGCCCCCACCCTCACGGAATTCACACCCAGCCCCCACACTCTCACACGGATTGTGTGCGCGCACACTGACCGCACATGCACAGCTTGCACTCACATCAGGACTACACCCCTTCCCCGACTCCTCCTGCATCTACCCACAAGACTCGCACGGATGCCCCGCGCCGACACAAGGGC